CAACAGTTGTTGGACGCTGACGGACACTGACGACTCGTGTACTGGGCAAACATTTGTTATTGGCATACAAGGTCCTGCAATAGTGCATTGGGCATATGTAGCTCTTTAGCATCTGTAACAACTTAAGACATTTTGTATAAATTAACGCAAACCTATATAATAAGTATATATTAGGATGTATTTCAGGAAAATATTTTGAAACTTGTACCGAGTGTAAGGGTCAAAAATGTGTGAGCGGATCGGAATGATTTTTTTTTTAAATGGAAGACACTGTATATTATTGCATTTTTGGCTTCTTTTTGATCACTTTTTATAACCTTAAGATATTATTAAATATGTTTTGATAGTTTCATCAGAGATATTAATAAATAAAAAATATATTTTAGCCTCTTTTAAAAATTTATTGAAAATGCAAGAAATACCCTGAAATGAAACGTTATATAAGTTAGTATATTTGCATCACAGGAGCCATGAGAACCTGTCCAACAGCAGCAATGGAGGTCATTCTAGATCTAACACCACTGCACATTGTCATTGGTAGATATGCCAATGCGACAATGATTAGAATGGTCACTAACGGAATTAGTACTGGGAGAATTGTCAGATCAGGGGCTTGGAACACCCTCAAAAAGGAAATACCACTCCTGCAACTCCCAGTGGACGATATGCCAAGAACGTACAACTTTGACAAACATGTCAATGTAGTATTGAGCAATAAGAAGGATTGGAAGAGCGAAACGCTTGCCCAGCAGTTAAAAGACCATACCATAACTTGGTATACTGATGCTTCCATGCTCCTTCGGAGTGTTTGGGCCGAGAGCTAATTACTCCGAACCAATGGGCACTTACCCTAGTATCCTACAGGCAGAAATCTACGCTATCGAGAGATGCGTACAACTTATCTTAGATAGGAACTAGCTAGGAAAGGAGCGAACACTCCACTAACTGGACCAGAACCGTTCTGCTTTTCAAGTGGTAACCAACTCAAGGCGGAACTCAAGAACTTGGAAGATTTCATCCGCAACCTGGAATGGAAATCTTGCAATGGTCTAAGACACTCGAAGAAGTTTCTGAGGGCTTATGATCAAGAAAAATCACAGATCTTCCTGGGTCTGAGTAAGAACAATCTTCGGATTGTCACGGGGTTTTTAACAGGACACTGTCTCCTCAATGAACACCTCAGTAGATTGAAACTAAGAAGAAACGGCGAATGCAGATTCTGTGGGGAAGATGGTGAAACACCAGTACACCTCATCACTGAGTGCGCCGAGACGACAACCATTCGTGCCATGAATTTTGGTACGACTGATATTGGAGATGGAGAACTACCCTCTATAAAACCGTCCCAGATGCTGGCTTTTGTCAAAGCCCTGGGACTGTATGATGAGTTATGATTCAAGAAAGGGGGACACAATGGATCTGTAAGGTCGAAGTGATTAACCCCCCTCCCACTCATTCTAAATTCTAAAATTCTAAAGTTAGTATATGCATGACATAAATTAGGATTGATTTACGTATTCAATTTTTTTCGGTCACTTCCTGTTTGACATGAAATGACTTCAACTTTTGATTTTTAAATTGCACCCTTGGTTACTTTGGCTGTATTCCGTTGCAAAACCAGGCGAACCAAACCGGTAAACTACGGTAAAGAGCGGTTCCTGAAAAACATCGGTCTGGTAAAATATTGGAAACGTCATCAATGTTGACGTTTTCTAAATTTCATTACCTCTATTATAAAATTTATCTTTTATGCATTTTTAATGTACCTATATTCTCTGCTTTTACGTTTGCTTCTTCTTTTCAATGGAGTTTAATATTGAAAAGTACTTTATTAATAAAATGTTAAACTCGTTAGACAGCTCAAGTGAAGATTTGCAGGTCCAATATTAAAACAGATCAATAATAAATAAACATATCTAATCAATATTTATATTTTTATAGCTTATAAAACATTCACGATTATTTGTTGTCTTGTTTTTCATGTTTTCTTTAAATGTTCTTGACTTTAAGAAACAATGGCTGCAATGATATGTTTAAATGGTCCTAAAAAGTCATTCTATTTAGTTCATAAAATTTATTTGCCTTTACTGCCTACCTCCATTGCTTTTGGATGTATAAAATTCAAAATTTAATTATTACAAATTTTAGAAATTAAATGAGAATTTCATTCGTACCAAACCAATATTTGCTTGATTTCTGTCACAAAAATGACATTGATTGACAAACAAAACCAGAAAAACCAGCCTTCTCGCGCTGGTTAGTTTGATGACAGTTATAACCAACCGAATTTTACAGGAACCGTGTTCCGTAATAAGAAAACTTTCAGGAAACCGATAAAAACGGAACATAAAACCATAAGCGAAGTAAGCAACGGAATACACCCTTTATTGATAGAAAATGACATTCTGAATAGAATGACATATCATATGTAAACTTTTGACATTTTTTATATGGTTTTTTTAAAATTGTAACATGCGGTTCATAACGACAATTTGACTCGAAATACCAAGTGAGTGGTACCAAATTATTCGTAAAACTACTTTTTCCACATATGCTTATGAGCCACCCTCGTATGATGAAAAGTACGATTTGGGCATCTTTAAACCGGCCGGGACAAGGGACAAGACATGAAAAATATTAGACCACTAGAAATCTATTTTCCAAGGCTCCTTGATTGAAAATTAGTGTTTTTAACACAGCGATGGTACTCTAGATAGAAATTTAAAATACGATTTTTTGAAGCAAAAATGTCAAAAGTTGACATATCATTCTCTTCAGGGGGTCATTTTCTATCGAATAAAGTAGAAAAATACCGAGGGTGCCATTTTAAAAATCAAAAGTTGTAGTAATTTTCGGTGAAACAGGAAATGACCAAAAACAATTGAATACGTCAATCAATCCTTAATTTATGTAATACCAAATCTCGTTTTTATTATCTGAAAAAAATAAAAAAGTTATAAGGGTGAGCCATGTTTGAGACGCACTCTGTATGGTTTGTACAAGTGTAGAACCAGGCTTGCACAGGCGGCCTAAGCGATAATACTTAACGTCTGGGGTCTTAACAGTCCCAGCTGTTATTTTGAAATGACAGTTTTGCCCATCGATAATCCAAAAACAAAAAACGTAATACTTTCCAAGTTCAATATAATAAATATGACGTACAAGAAGAACGTATCATATTGAAACTGCAAGTTCGGCAAAACCAGCTCTATAAGAAATATTCCGAAATCCAGTATCTGCAAAGAGCATTGCACAGCCATTAACAACAACATTCCTCCAAACAACTTATTAAATGTATCGACCACTCTGTGCATCTCCAAGTATAACCTCTTGGCTTTGTGCACTATCTTTGTAACATTCTCCACATTTGTGTAAGAACAAGCTGTCAACGCACACTTGATATACTTGTACTGATTGGACAACTCCAGAGCTATTTGCCCTATAAGGTTCGACAGCAAAAAACTGTAGTAGAAGTAGATGTAGGATAGGATAAAGCTAACTGAGTTGTTTTCGATCTGCCAGAACAAGATGTCTAGTAGATAGAGTACTAAAATAAGGAAAGTTGCTACTATGAAATATAAGTTGGCGTTTCTTAAAATGCTTCGTTTGATGTCTTGACGCTCTTTGATGATTTGTTCGTTGCACACGTTGGACAGTTGTTGAAACAGTCTTTCCCATAACTTCCTTTTCGTGTAAGACCACAAAACGACACTATTGAACATGATGAAACCCGATAACTCACACATAACTCTTACTATAATCGAGAGATAACTTTCCGAGTACTCATTGTAGAACTTGTTCATCCAGATATAGATTTCCATGAAAATCATGGAAGTTATAAGAAATATCACGTAACACAGTGTGCATTTTTTACTTCCAAGTCGATTTAATCTAAAGTTGGAGTTGGGCAAGATACCAAATACTTTCATAAATTTAATATTAGGACCGAAAAGAGGCTCGCACTTGTTCTGATGGTGAACCATGATGTAATTGCTAGTGTCGAGTGTTACATCACCGTTTTACGCGTTCCAGCTGTTCCGTCTGTCTGGCAATTTATTGTAGGTATTAATTTAAGATAATCCAGGTAAATCGTGTTTGTTTAGATAAAATGTTTGTTTGTTTGTTTTGCTATCTAACAGTTGGCGATGCTGATACATGTTAATCGGGCTATTTGAAAGAATAATGTTGGAATTAGGTGGGTACATAAAAAAAGTTTTACTTATTACAAGGCTCTATAAATCATGGTTGATAAAACAGTTTGTCTATATATATATATATATATATATATATATATATATATATATATATATATATATATATATATATATATATATATATATATATATATATATATATATATATATATATATATATATATATATATATATATATATATATATATATATATATATATATATATATATATATATATATATATATATATATATATATATATATATATATATATATATATATATAAAACAAAAAATATAGTGCTAACAATTTGCCTATTCAGGGCCGGCGGAAGGGAAATATTGAGACCGGGCGTGTACCATACCCCTCTTTCCTTCAATACTATACTTTAACTACAACTAAGCATATTTATGCTACTTTAACAATAAATTTTTACTTAAAGATTCTTCTCTTCGTTCAATCTTATTCTACGGTTGTTGTTTTTTCTACACAGGTTGCATCTCAAAAATGACTCACCCCTACAACTTTTTTATTTTTTTAGATAAAAAATCGAGATTTGGTATGTTAGTATATGACATAAATTAGGCTTGATTGACGTACTCAACATTTTCGCTTAAAAAATCGTATTTTAAATTTCTAATCTATAGTGCCATGATTGTTTTAAAAACACTGATTTATTAATTTAAACAAGGAGCCTTGGAAAAATAGATTTGATCTTTTTAATAATATCTTAATTTTTTCAAATGGAACAAGGGTGGCTCATTTGTAAATTTGGAAAAAAACATTTTTTACGAATAATTTGAAACATTGTTCCAGGGTTCCAACATTTTTCGGATTCATCCTGTAAATTTGTCGTAAGGTAATGATAAATTTATTAACTAAAGCTCATTAACTAAAACTCATTCATAAATTCAAAATTAGTGGTTTCAATTAGCGTAGGTTTGGTTTGGTTATTCAACGTATTCAAAACGTCAAAATTAGTTGTAGGATTTTTCAATTAGTTCGAAAAGTTAACAAACAATTTGCGAGTAGCGTTATTTTGGCCTTTGATTATCAACCCTTAAGAGAAATCGTGGCTAAAATAAAAAGAGTATTGTTTTATAAAAGGCTTTTATTAGGCTTTCTCTATGTTATCTATCTCTAAATTTTGTCATTTACAGACTATTTGACTTGGACAAAAACGGTGGTCTCGACGTGAAAGAATTCGAGTCTCTCTATTACTACATTCGTCAATGGTTGAACGCGTTCAACACTTACGATCGTGACAAATCCGGGTTTCTCGATGAAAACGAGCTAGACTACGCCTTGAAGCAAATGGACATCAACTTTTCCCCGGAATTCATCAGATTTCTCATCACCAAAAACAACCCGAAGGCCAAGAAGATGGCTTTGGACCAGTACATCATCACTTGTATTCAGATTCAACGATTCACCGATGAATTTAAGAACAGAGATGTGAATTATTCGGGAAGTATGAATATTAAGTACGAAGATTTTTTGGAAATGATTCTAAGATGTTTATAATGATAATTTTAATCTGAAGGTTTTGATGTTTTAACTGAATAAAATGACTGCGCCAAAAAATGTGTTTTATTTTGTAGAAAGTTCTCTTCCATTAAATAGTCTTCCAGGTTCTTCAGTTCTGGTTGTAAGTCTGTCTTCAATTCTTGTAAGTTGGTTTCCACTTGGGATGCAAAACGGTTCTAGTCCAGTTAGTGGAGTGTTAGCTCCTTTTTTAGCTAGATCGTTATTAGCTTCTTTATTATTCTATTCTGTGGTGTGAGTACTTTATTTTCTTTGCTTAGTTTGTTCAAATTCCCTGGCATTCTTTGACCAACTTCGAATTGATGGTTACTGAGTTAATTGTTCTTAAGGCTGCTTGACTATCTGATAATGTCAGATGGGAACTAGATGCCGATGACAGCTGAACATCAACAGAAGACACAAGAAGGCAATTGACAGAACATCGTCTTATTACAAGAAAGAAAAGAACATAAAGAATTTCAAAAGTCTACTAATATAGTACTAAAACCTTAGATCTTATAAACTTCAATTAATGCCACTTTTTTTGCTTTTTGTATACTGTTTAACCCATGATAATAAAGAGTTGATTTGGATTTCCAACGATATTTTAGATTTGTCTTCTGTTTGAAAGTTGGTTTTTATAGTGTGATAAAGTTAGTTAGGGGAGGCACGTTGGGGAATGAGGGGAAGGTTCGTTAGGCAATTTATAGAAAGATGTAGTGAAGGAATTCTGGAAATAATTATTGATAAGTTTACTACGAGATTTCTTGAAGGAGTATAATATGAAAAACAAGCTGAATATAAGAAAGACTAGCTTATACCAGCGACTACGTTCGCGTCGAATTAATCATTTGTAATGGTGATGATAAAGCAAAGCAAGAATTTCCATTAACATACAAACTGGATAAAATTTTCTCACATTTATGTCAGCATGAGAAAAAACAATATGGCGATATTATTATATAACTTGGTAATATTTGAGGGGTAGTTTCATCTCGTTGAAATTTGACTTTCGAAAAATCCGTTTGCCAAAAATAAACTTTTTACGTCAAGCAGTTTAAACAGAATCGTGGTTAATCAATTATCCAAATTTTTGAAACAACCTGTATGATTTCTTAGAAAATTTCAAAATATGTAAAAAAACAAAATAAATTATGCGTGTCCAAGCGTTTTTCCGAAAGACTAACCGTTTTTTAAATAACAAATACTGTAATATTTGAGAGGCGTTTTCACCCTCTTGGAATTTGAAATTCGAGAAACCCCTCCTTATCGAACTTCTACACCACACAGTCAATCCGTTTGCCAAAAATCAGCTTTAAACGTCAAGCAGTTTAAGCGGAATCGTGATTACTCAATGGTCATATTTTATAAAACACCGTGTATAAATTTATAAAAAAATCTTAAAATATGTAAAACAACAAAATAAAATATACGTGTTTAAGAGTTTTTCCGAAAAACTCACCGGTTTTTAAATAAAAAATATTTTAATATTTGAGGGATAGTTTCACCCCCTTAGAATTCGAGTTTCGATAAATCCCTTTTTATCGAACCTCTACACCCTAAAGTCAATCTGTTTTCCAAAAATCAGCTTTTTACGTCAAGCGCTTTAAGCAGGATCGTGATTAATCAATGACTAGATTTTTCGAAACACCCTGTATGCATTTTTAAAAAATCTTAAAATATGTAAAAAAACAAAATAAAATATACGTGTTTAAGCGTTTTTTCGGAAACTTGACCGTTTTTTAAATAAAAAATATTGTAATATTTGAGGGGTGGTTTCACCCTCTTGGAACTGGAATTTCGAAAGATCCCTTCTTATCGAACCTCGACACCTGGTATTTCGTGTTAAATTGTTACAAATTTTTCGCCGTTATGAACCGCATGTTTCAAATAAGTCATATGCGAAAATGTCAAAAGTTGACATATGATATGTCATTCTATTCATTTTAGATTTATTTTCTATCGCATAAAGTAGAAATATACCAAGGGTGCTATTTAAAAATCAAAAGTTGTAGTAATTTCCGGTGAAACAGGAAGTGACCAAAAACAACTGAATACCTCAATCAATCCTAATTTATGTCGTATACTAACATACCAAATTTCGTTTTTTCATCTGAAAAAATAAACAAGTTATAGGGATGAGCCACTTTTGAGACGCACCCGGTATATAGAGCTATAAGAAATATAATTCCAACTTCGGCAGTCTCGTTCTGGTATAAGTGATCTTTGAAAACATTAGTATTAGTATTTAGTTGCAAGCAGTTGCATTATTTTTCAATAAGAATTTAAGAAAATTTTCCTTTCTTTTTCACAATCAATTATTGCGTGCAGAATCAGTAGTTTTAGTTTTGTCGGCTCCAAATGAGGATCAGCCAGTGTTTGGAATGCATTTCTTTGTGAGAAATTTTTCTTTGTGTAATTTCTCTAATGAGAAAATTCTACGATTGTGTTACCATTTTCCATGTATTATGTTCCATATTCAATCCGGAACAATCAAAACCACCAAAAGATATTTTTTCCCACTACGGCTGTTAATAAATTAATTTAATTAATGAGGCAAACTTATAAGCTTTTTTTGATAATAAGGATACCGGGATCCTCTTCAGCTTCTTGCGAATGAATATTTGCCTCATATAATGCTAGGGCATCAGCTATTAATAACAAATAAAGGTTGTGGGTAGTAGAAAAAGTGCGATTTTGAGCGGTAAGTCTAAAACTGTCAATTTTGCTGGCCCTTGACCCAAAACAGTTTGTTTAGAAATTTATAAAAAGTTTCGAATAGAGCACCCAAAAAACATATAGAAAAGAAGAAATCAAAACTATCGCAAAGCTTTCGTGTTAAGAATTTTTTTTTGAGCATAATTTCAGTAAACTATAATAGGATACGTCTAGGATATAGTAGTGTTAATAATGTTTAGTCAGATATTTCTTCCCTATGTGGTATGGTAATTGCTAATTTAATGTGAAAATTGATTAGTACCGATTAATTATTGATCTGGTTTTTCATTATTGTTTGTTTATATTACTGTTTTTAAATATTTTAGTTGCCGTCGCACAGTGCTTCGTCCCATGGACAAAAATCGAAAAAAAAAGTTAAAATTTACTAATATCTGAATATGTAATTTTATACTTATAGCAATGTTCAACGATCCTGTATATTATTTTTTATAAACAGCGTTTTTTGTTAGCAAATATTTTCACTAAAAATAAATTTTGCGAGCATTATCTTATATCAGTGAAAAGAATAACATTCATAGTAGTTCTGTGTATGCAGATAAACGGTACGTACTTAATTGAAAGCCACTGTGGATATTGTTAAACAAGGTATGGTAACAAGGTAACTTTTTACAAGTTCGTGATTGTTTAGTTTTTATTTATTTTTTAAGATGATTCTTAAATGGGTATAAAAATTTTACGCTTTCAAACTTCAAAAAGGCATTTAAAAAAAACATATCAAAACATATCGTATGTATTGAATGTTTTTGTTGTCATATTCATACACTTTTAATTTTTGTATAGTTAACCTGCGTCTGCTTGCGACGAATTTTATTTTATAATACTTTTCAGATGGAGTAAAATTGATATGCAATGCCGATCTGGTTAATACTTGGCTTGATCATAAGGATAAGAACTCAAAATTATTTGTATTTCAGAAATCAGTTCTTTATTAGATATTGATGAACCTTCCAGTCAAATGAGACACCACTTGTGCCTGAAAAAGCCCACTATGTTGGAGCGAAACGTCGCATAAAAAAGTTTTTAGTCTTTCAATTTCTTATAAAACCTTATACCCAAGAAAAGGAAAAAATAATATATGGATATGGTCTATTAAAGAGGTAACTATTACATCCGAACTCCTCATCATCCCCCCTAAACATCCGAACCCCCCTAAACATCCGAACCCCTCATACCAACAAAAAGAACAGTAACGCGAAAAAGTAACATAATTAGAAAATTATGTACATAAATATCTTATATGTGAGGATATTTCATCTATCTGTGATTTGGATACTATAAATTTGGAAGATTCTGTCAGCAGTTATTCTTCTGAATCAGAGTAGTTACGATCTATGCATTTTACTGTCCTAAGTAAATTTATAGTATCTTAATTTTTTTTTAATTAAATATAGCATTAATGTTTCTTTTTCATTTAAGAAAAACATTTTTATCTTATATTAGGCTTATATTGTAGGAATCATGTTCTAGTGTTATTTCAATTCTTTTTTATCACAGGGAGTTATTTAATACTTACACCGTTTTCATACTATAAATTATTATTTCCTTAGATGGAACACAGCTCCAACATTTTTATTATTTATAAGATTTTTTTCATAAACGTGGGACTAAGAACATCATCATTTAGTACAATGAGAGTACTCATCATTTGTGTCAAATAAACCTACTTTAAATAAATTGCCTGCAATAAAAGAGAAGTTTTGCATTTTTGTCCTCTAGAACCATATGTACGAAGTACGAAGCACTGTGCATCGTGGCGCCCCACAGTGGGGTATTTGACACAGATAGTTGATCGAAATTTTTTTATGTAGACCTTATATAAATTATTGCTATTTTCAGTTAAAGAGGAAATAATATGAACAAAATAAAGGATAATTCGTCGATTCTAAAAAAAGAAAGAAAAATCACTGTTCCAGTGTTTCCACGGTCAATGCCACTAATGCCAGTAGTAATATCGCAACTAATACTACTAATACTACGACTGATCCGCGAGCAATGCCCATACCACTAAAGTCGCTACTAATGCCAAATTGTGCTATACTGCTAATGGCACTAATGCGATCGCTTTGTACACAACAATGCTATCGCGGTTTACACCTCGCATTAGTATATCACTGATTGGCAAATTAGAGGAAACCAAGAATGTTTTTCTCATTTTATCAGCAAAGTCGCAAAAAGTCGCAGTATTTTATTTTACTGTATGAAAGCCCAATGTTTACTAAGTAAAACGTATATAGACAATAGCTGAATTCTTCAAAATGCGCAACTAAATCTCTAAGTAATAATAAAAATGTCACAAATTTAATCAAATTTT